AGATAACTGTGCCAAAATTATGCACAAATATAAGATTTCAAACAACTCAAAGAGAACAGAAAGTTCAGTAGGTAGAATTCCATGTGAAACATAAGAATTAATAGCCTCATCCTAAATTGTGAAAGGAAACTTTAAAGAGATTTTTGGTGCATAACTAAAGCTGTTTAAATGAGAGATATCCCATATCAAAATCAAAATAAAACGGAGATGCTTCACTGCCATATTAAAAAAAATGTTACAGCTCATGTGATAGTTTAACTAATCCTTTATGATTAAGCCATTTTTTCTATCCAGGGTTTAGATTAGCCAGTTTACAGTTTACATAGCTGAAACAAACATTCTTTCAATTGAATTACATACTTCTTGTTTTTCTTCTTCTTCCTCATTTTCTCTTCTTCTTTTCCTGTTTTATCTTCTTTATGAAATGTGTTTCTATGCAGGTTGGTTTTCTAGTCCAACCTCCTGCTCAAGGCAGGAAACCTTGTACCATCCCAATCAAACAATTGTACAGTTTATTTTTGAAAAATCTCCAGAGATGTGATTAAAAAACTCATGCCAAGGTTTATTCCTATCAAATTCATATAGGTTATTATATAGTATTCTGTTTTTGACATTCAGTGGAATTAAGTTATATCACCTGGCATTTATGCTTCTTATAAAAGTCATATGTAGTTGTGTCATTAAGTCTAATTTTAGGCACTTAATTTCTTTCTCTATCAGTATGTTTCTTTATAGTATTTTCCCTGAAAGATTGAAAGAATTTTGATAATACAGCATGATTTTGATGTGATTTGTAAATCATTTCACTTAGATTCAGCTGTAGTTTTCTAAGTAACATTCTTCAATCCTCATCAAATTCATTCTTTTTTTTTTAAATACCAAAATAAGGGGATCAGTTGCTTTCTTTATCCAATATGAAATTAGCAGCTCCAGGAGCTCTGATCTCACCATAGAATTATGAGTGGAGTTGAAAATTCTTTTCAAAGTTTATTAATGGTTTTAGCTGTCAGATTATATCATTTTTTATTATTTCATGTCAGATCCTGTTGTATTCAGGATACTATATGAACACTTGAATTGCTGTTATAGTATGAAACAGATTTCTATGCACTTCACTTTTTAGTAAGTGCTTTATTCAAAATAAAGATTTTTTTTTTAAAAAAAATGATGCTAAGAACAATCCATGATACTCCCTCTACTTGTCCAAGATGTTATACATGAAGCCAACATTTCCAGAAAATCTTAATGTATCCTTTTAAGAAAGTCTCATGCTCCATTATAAAACAGTCAGTTTTGTTGGGGATTTCAAGCATCTCCTTCATTGTATTTTGGTTTCTGAGGATAATTTTTCTCACAATTGATAGTAGTGTGAGTATTTTTGTACCACAATAGCACAAGCTGAGGATACATAGTTGAGCATCAACCTCTTTCAAAAGTTATTTGAAAGAACAAATCTTACCTTTACTGAGTCTATCATGGTGAGATACTATAGCAAGAGTCTCCTATGTGTTAAGCTAGCCAAGATCTTTAGACCTCCCTGCATTTCATAACCATGAAATGATCTAAACTGACCCAACTTTATATAAAATATGTGAATGGAATGCTTCCAATCCTTGTTTTCAGAGTACAGCAAGATTGCTGACTTTGGCAGAAAACTGACATTGTTAAAGTACTGAAGAAGTTTGCTTTATATGAGTTGTTAAACCCTTTTTCGTGTCACCAATACTGACAATTTGTGGAAAGAGACTACTGACATGACACAGGACTTTAGATTGTTATGGGGAAAATGCCCACTTAAATTAGGAATCAGAGTAATTGGACACAGATGTTATCTGCCTCCTTTTCCTCCAGGCTTCTCAGGCAGTTTCAGTTTGCCTGTGCCTTCTATTTGCAATTCAAAATCCCACACAGCAAATGTCTGTAAGGAATAGTAGAATAGTACTTGTTGCTCACATTCCCCCAGTTTTCCCCATCTACAGGTGAACAACATAGTAGAGGGAAGAAGCAACACGATAATATGCAGCCAACCTGGGATATAATGATCAACTGACAATGTTTTATACCTTTGACAAGATTTACAGACAGCACAAGTTCCAAAGCAAGGACATCCACTCATTGTATAAACACATATATGCATCCCTATTAGGAAGAAGAGAAATTCAATGAATAAAATCACATTTATTCATGCCCATATGGATGAATATACATGATAGTAATCTATGTTCTGGGCTCTTTCCTTGGACTTGAGCTTTAGCTACTTCTTCCAGAGAATATGCCTGCTTGTAGATCAATGCAATATCAGTCTCAGTACAGTGATATTGATTAATCCAAACACAACAAGAATAATTCATTAATTTGCATGCTTCCCCTTGTTGGGGCCAATAAATAACCTAGGGCCATTCTGTTTTCTACAGTAAGATAGCAATATCCTCTGGCACTGCAGAGTGTATCAGTGACAACATAAAAAGGCAATCTCTACTTCTATAGAAACATCCATGATAGCATTCTGTATCTCATACACTTCTAGTTTTGGCAGTAAAACTCTTATATATCCACCAATATTGTGTCTCATCCAGGGTTTTTTCTATCTGCTGTGTGAACAAAAGGCAATGGGGGGGGGAGGGCACTAATCTTGTTTTGGTAAGTCAAATCAACTACTATATACCCCAGAAACCAGCTTTCTTCAAAATTATCAGGTAGCATCTTATAAGCATATTCTCCACAGATCCAATAATAGACTGGTTTGAAGTGACATAATACTTGTGATGATGAGCAGGAGGCTTATCTGGGGCTTTCAACTTCCACAGGAAATATGCCAATGAAAATTCACAGTCAATGAAGATTCTTAGTCATCCAGGTAGATTCCAGAGGAAAGCATGGCATGCCATTTGTCCAAATTAATTACTGTGATAGTCAAATAAGATTGTTAATAACATCACCATATGATTTTCTAAATAATTTTTTATTAAAAAATTTAGAAAGGAAGGAAGAAAGAAAGAGAAAGAAAGAAAGAAAGAAAGAAAGAAAGAAAGAAAGAATAGTGAGTATGGGGGGGGGTTAGAGAGAGAATAAAAAGAAAGAAGTTTCTGATTTCCATTGAGGTAATTATAATTACAAAATTGTCTCTTCTTTGTGATTACATACAACATCCCTTATGATTATGAGTGTAATCTTTATAACTAGGAGTCTCTGTAATATTAACAAACATGAATACTAAATGCCAAAACAAGGATTATCATTCAACAGTATAGGAAAGGCCTATTTTAGGGCCACTTGTTACAGTGGTTCCAGCAGGTGTAATGTCTGTAAAATCATCATAAACATGAGTGGTTCACATAGGTTCCAAAGGGTACCACCAGAAAAAGCCTCCCTGGATTACCAGAGGTACGGTTTTGGTGGATACAGAACTTGGGAGTAGTTACCAGACTGGGGACAGTATTGGACAGAAGGGCTTAATTTGAATCAGTTTCAATCAAGAGAACTTTTCTTAATCTGTCAATAACATCTCCATTATCTGTAGTAATTGTGAGGGATTTTTTTACAAGCAGGCAACTTCTTACTGAGCATGAAAGTGATCAATTTGAGAATGGTAACAGATGAGTGAGTTGCAGATTACAGATCCAGCTTTATATGACACAACAGAAATGTGTAGAGCAGGAGGTATTCTCTTTCTGGATTATCATGAGTTTTCATTTAATTAATTCTTTAAATTCCTAAAATCATTTTGGACTATAGGTAATTCTGTAATATATGAGTTCATGTTGGGAACAACAAACAATTCCACTCCCATCCTCCAGCATATGAAATTGTACTGTCATATCTTAAGCTGATGACCATATCCTTGAAAATAAGGGTTTTATGCTATCTGAGGCACTTATCTTGCCCTGTTTCATATTTGAGCTACAGAATCTCTGTAAATTAGCATTTCAGTAATTCATTCTTACAAAATATATAATCACATTACTTTTTTTGCCTTTTTTGTCAGTACAAAGTTAAGAACAGTATGAACTGTCTTTCAAAATTTCAAGAAGAGTTTGTCATTTGTCAAGAATGGTATAGGGCCTTGGTGGCGAACCTATGGCACGCGTGCCGCTGGTGGCACGCAGAGCCCTCTCTGTTGGCACTTGCACCGTCACCCCAGTCCTAGGCCTTCAGCTAGGTTTTATAAAACCTTTTTGCTTTAGGCCTCCGACGCCATGTGCAAAAAGAAAAGGTTCAATCAATCAATCAATTTCAATTTCTCGCAGGGAAAAAAAAGATCTCACAAAGTTGGAATTGATTGATTGAACTTTTTAGTTCCATCCAGTCTGCCGATACCACCACAGCCATGCCCACCCAATGGGCCATGCCCACCCGGCACCTGATGATACATAAGTGGGTTTTGGGTTGCAGTTTGGGCACTCGGTCTCTAAAAGGTTCGCCATCACTGGTATAGGGTCTCTGCTCAAGTAGGGGATTGGACTAGAAGACCTCCATGTTCCCTTCCAAACCTGTTATTCTATGTTCTGTGATGCTATATATAAAATAAGTTTGATTTTGCCTTTTAAACAGCTACATTTTACAGCAGGTTTAAAATCAAAATATATCCTGCTTGCTTTTGCTCTCTGTAGCAAGATGTGCAAGTTTACTTCTGATTTTGGAGCTGATTTATAGAAAAAATGAAACCTTAGGATGGGAGATTGTTCTTGATAGCTTGCTTCTTGAGAAGTTTCCAGATTTATGACTAGAAGAAGTTTAGTATGCCATGTAAAAGCTCAAGCTTCAAAAAAGATTACACATTAGTTTTTATTTATATATATTGAAACTTGACATTTGGTGATCTATGCCCATGTCTTGTAAGTTCAGAGGCAGTACAGTTTTTAACTATTAAAAAGCATCATGTAACCACCTTTCCATTCACTTTCCCATCCCCTTTAGCCTCCCATCTTGGTCATAACTTTGAGATCTTATTAATAGGTACCTTTTTGTTGTTTTTTGTCTTTTTTTCAAATTCACTCTAGGTATCAAACTGGTTTGGAAATAAACGAATCCGGTACAAGAAGAACATAGGTAAATTTCAAGAGGAAGCCAATATTTATGCTGCCAAAACGGCTGTCACTGCTACAAATGTGTCAGCCCATGGAAGCCAAGCTAACTCACCCTCAACTCCCAATTCAGCTGGTTAGTTTTTTTTCTTTTGGGTTGTTATTGTTCTTTTTTCCAGTGGGGTTTTATTTTCTTTTAGTATAAATGTATGTTTCTTGTTTTTCACTTTGAGTTCCTGTTTGATTAGACAATTTTGTTCCTGTCCGTTTTTTGTTCCTAAAGGCAATATAGGCTCGTTACATACTTACAAAGCAATGTATTGAGGATTTTTACTTAGGTAACATTTTGTCTAAGTTTCTGATGCTGTCAGAAAAAATGTTGGCTATGTGCATTTTATACGTTTCAATAGTAGAGAGATGAGGTAACTAAATTTTCATTTGGGGGGGATGAAAAACAAAAGTTTCTTCTGTGGAAGACACATTAGTGAAGAAAACATAACATTGCCATATTTATTTTGATGGTGCTGTGGCTCAAGATGTTTTCAGTCAGTCTGTCTAGGTGTGTATTGTATGGGCCTATAATTTGCTAGTCCTTGATACTCTTGGGGCACTACTTTGCAAAGCCATTGACCTAAGGACTGATCCATACATTTTATATATTGAAATGTGAAAAACGTCAGCATACATGCAGTTGGAAAACATAATATAGGAACTGTTGTGAATGATTTAAAATCTGAAGTAAACAAAACTTGAATTTTAACGTCTTTTTCCTACCAGAAACTCTGTCCATAGTATTATTTTTCCCCAAGTCAGGGTGGCTAGACAATAAACCCATCCCAAATGAAAAGACCTGCATCTTCCTCCTGAAGACAAATCACTAAGTGAGAATTTGGAAGTGCCACTGCAGATTGAGTCCTTGTTCACACTTCATTTTTGATGAGGGAGAGCAGCTTTAAGTCCACCCTCTGAGCATTTAACTACAATTCCCTTTCTTTGGAAAACTGATGCCATCTTATGTGACATGGGAATAAAGTTAGAAATTCTGCTACATATTTGCATTGTGTAAGTTGGTACTTCACATTTGTTTGGTAGTCTTGACTTTGCAGTTGCTTAATGTAAGATGGGAGTTGTGCCTGACATGGCCACTGGTGACCACTGACAAATGGTCAGCTTTGTTGTTTCTGGCATTTACCTGCCATAATAAGGCAAACATGGAAAATCACAAACTTCATACTCGACAAGTGACAAGAATGTTCTCGTTACTTTCAAAAATAAATATGTTTTGCCTTATAAGTGCCCCCTTTAATTTGTGGGTTAAGGTCTGTAATTTACTGATGTTGTATAAGAGATGGCTGTTTTTATTAGTTCTGCCTTATGGATAGCATTGTTTAAGATGGCTTATCTTTTGCCTTGGCAAAATCATAAAATTTCACAAGATCATATTTCATGACTTGATTCACAGAAAATGCATGTTGAAGAAAGGACAAGACCACTTGCATGCTGAAGAATGGAAATATTTTTGTCTTTTGCTTAATTTCATACTTGTCTAGAATATAATAAAAAAATTGGAGCAGCTTTATCTATTGCTTTTCTGTACACAAATAAGATGTTTTACCTGCACTGAAACACACAAAGTGTGAATAGAGCAGGTGTCTACCGTATAGATCCAAGATAGCTTTGCTATGCATAGCTTTTGCTATGCAAAATGAATGATATTATATTATTTTAAGCAGAAGTTGTATATTACATTTTATCCTGCTTGTAATTATTTATAACTATGCTGACTTAATTGGAAGTTAAGAAGTTCTGTAGAAGTTAAGCAGAAAAATGCATTATTAATTCAATCTATTCTAGACCAACACTTCTATTTGTTCATGATTTTTGATAAAAATAATCTAAAATCTTTTAAGCCATGTAGGAAAAAAAGCTTAGCAAGAGAATTGGGGATAAAGTGCTGCCAACATATGCTTTATAGCAGTGCTCTGCAGTGTTTCTGCCACATGATCACTCCCAGGCTAGAAAGAGAATCCAGGAAAATCAGAGGCATTATCAGCAGATACAGGAGATGAATAAAAAGGGCAGAGTCAGAATCTTAAAAACAATAACAACACAAAAGGGGAGAAGTTAGATTTGGTGATCAGTTTTTTAAACAGTATTTTATCAGATAAGTAAGGGTAGGTAATCACAGACAAATTCTGCAGAAAACTAAGTAAACGTTATGAAGAACGAAATGTTCTTTAAGGATGAAAAACATTATGTATATTTTTATTCTTTGGTGATATAAAAAAACCTTGAAACATAGAAATCCTTGAACAAATGGCATTCAGGGAATTGCTGCAATAAATGGAATTACTGATTTGTCAGTATTAGTATTATATATTACATAAGGAATAAGTTTCATTTTAAGAGCTATAGTGCTATGGCTGAATATAGTTGGCTGAATATAGTTAGCTGAATACTGGCTATATGAATACAATACTTAGAGAAGTTATAGATTATGAAATATGCCTTAAAATGTGCATTAATACCTGCAAATATTATATTAGCAAAATAATTACAAAATTTAAATTTCTTAAATTTCTGTGGAACCAAATGGCTAATTTTACATATATTTCAAAAATTGTGGACTCCATTTGTAAAAAACTTAAAAATGCAAATGATATACTTTATATGAATTTAATTTTTTAAGGAAGAGTTGTCTGTGTGTGTGTGTGTGTCAAGTCTACTCACACCTAAAAAGGTTTCTTTTTTATAGCGGATGTAGCCTCTCAAATTGAGATATTTTTTTTGTACAAGTTTTGAGAAAGTCTTCAGTTCTTAATAAAATCTCTTTTTGCAAGTATTCTTACTGACAATAAAAGCAAGGACAAATATGGACAAATAAAAACAAATTAATTAATAATTGTCCGAGAAATTAATTACACAGGAGAGTTTCTTGGGAATATTTTTTGTCCATTTTATTGTAGTATGTTAGTTAGAAATGGTTCTCTTATTTCAGGGATCAGCCTGATAACCAAGTGATTGGGCCATATGAATCTTATAAATACTCATGCCACATAACCCTTAGTTGATCTTAGATGGCCAGAAAATTATGTAGAACTGGAAAAGAGGGAGTTGCTTCATTTCTTGCTTGCTCAATTTGCAAAGCTACTTTTAGTTTTCTTGAAGGTTATGTGGCATCCTCAATTTTCTTTTGAATCATAGCATTTAACAGAACAAACCAGGCATGTGATCTTCCTGGCTATCTGCCCATATTCTCCTCTGCTATCCTACTTGGCCAAACTAAAACTCTCCAGCCAGAGTCTTCTCCTTTCTATTGTTTCTTTAACTCTTCTATTTTTCCTGTTCTTTTGATTGCGCCTGTTTTGTTTCCTCTTTCTCATTTCCATTACAGTTTCCTTTTTTCTCCAGTTTTGACAAACACCAGCACTGACTCTCATCTTACTGCTGTGGAACTTCTCTGTTCTCCTCCTTCCCTGCCACAGTGTAAATCAATCACTCTTTGCAAACTGCTTCTTTCACCTAATACAGGTGCACTTAATACAGCCTCTTTTTTACCCCCTGAAAAACTAAAAACAGTTAATTTCTTAATCAGTTAAATGAAATGGACAAAAATGAGACCTCCTTATTTAACCTTTTCTGAATTGAATTGGATTTGCCTCCTTAATATTCATATTTTTTTCACCACTTGACATAGTTTTGACACCTGTTACTTGTACAGCTATTGAGAGAGGCTGGGGTATAATAAAAGAGAGGCAAAGTAAATGCAGTGGAATTTATTTCAAACTAAATAATAAAGGGAAGAGTAATTATCAACACATTTCATGGAATCAAACATTGGAATGGGCTACTTAACTCCCTGGAAAGGCCTACTTAACTTTCTGCTCAGTGCAGAATCCCAGTGAAGACATTCTAGGTTAACTAGGCACTGTGTGAGTACATCCAGTGAAGGAAAGTCCACTATCATTCTGGGTAATTGGTTCCACTATCAAACTGCTCTTAAAGAAGCTTTTTGTAATGTTTTTTTGGAACAGGGGTGTCAAACTACCAGCCCATGGGCCGGTTGCATCATACAGAGGCCACACCCACTCCAGCTCCAGCAATGCAAAAAAAAAGTCACGATACGTCGTGACATGTCATGTGACGTAGTCAGTTTGACACCTGTGTTTTAGAACCTGCCTCCCTGTCATTAAATCCTTATTTAAATATAGACATGCTATTTATTAATGTATTTTATTGGTTTACTCTTAATGCAATCAGTTTATTGATTTCTGAAATTTCAGCAGGTTGAAGAACTGCATGTAATTACCCTATGTTCTATCCAAAGCCATTCCAATTGAATTCAACTAGTGTCCTCTTAGGAACAGCCTAAGACATTTTCTCAGATATTCTGATGACATTTAAAAAAAACAAAACTATCCATCCATGTTATTTTCTGAATGTTTTCTCTCCTCCCTGCCAATTTGTGCAGATACTCATTCCTTTTCCCAAAAGAGAGGGGGGATTTCTGTAGGTTTTAAAACTCACATTTTTACTTTATATTGCAAGGCTACAAACACATCTACTATTGGGACCATCTCTAGTTTTTCTGTCTATCTAAAAATAAAGCATTAAGGCCTGGTTCTTCCCCAGACACTAGGGACAGTTGAGTGAAAGTCCATTTTGATTGTTTTGTTTTGTTTGTATTTTATATTTATGTATTGTCAATGTTTAAAATTATATAGTTTAAGGGAGGGTCCTTTTAATTTATTGGTTTTTTTTTATGCTACTCAGTCATACAATTGAGTTGGGGAGCATTATAAATCTTATCTCTGACACACACACATTTTAAGCTATCCAACTCATAGTGACTCTGGGAAGTATGCAAGTTAAAGACAACATCCAATACAATAAATATCTAAAAGTAAAAACTAGGGACTAAAACACTAATACACCGATAAAAAATGGAAAGAAGGGCACATAACTAAGGCCGATTATCAGCAGATAGCCAGAACATACAAAGATGAAGTCAGGAAACAAACGCTAAGAATGAACAAAGACTCGCAACAGAAATCATGGATAATAAAAAAAAAGTTTCTTCCAACATATTAACAACAAGAAAAAAGTCAAGGAAACTGTAGGTCCACTAAAGAGAGA